CTCCCCCCCATGATGCAAGAGGCCGGTTTGTTGGAGAGTAGACCTTTCCAATTTGCTGCCACATCACGATCCCAACAACCACCCCGTCAACAAGGACAGGGTAGTCGGAGTAAACGAGTCTCGTCTGGTAGGCAGTTTACCGAAATCGACATACCAATATCACTGGTCTTGCAACACTTACTGAAGCTGAATTTGGTCACATTAAGAGATCCTCCTTGGAATCCCAGTACCTTCGCTCCTAGCTATCATCCTAATGCAATATGTGCATACCATTCCAATAATCCTGGGCATGATACGAATAACTGTTGGGCTTTGAAAAATAAGATTCAAGACTTGATCGACGAAGGAATGCTGGAGTTCACACAAGATGGTCAGACTGAATTCTTCTGCCGTCCCTCAAAGGATCACCACCTGAAGTGACAAGTTCAGACAAAGAAGCTTTTGTTCATTTGAATTTTCAAGTTGTAATTTCTCTTTCGATTTGTTCAAACACTTATCTATTAATGTCAAACTTTGTTTCATTAATGCATTGCATATGTTTTTCTTGAATTGATCCATTCGTTTTCACTATATTTAAACTATGCTTTTTACTCCCTTTATATTCAACTCTTGTTTTAAAAGTTGCAAGCCTTTAGAGGGAAGATGACGAAAACAATGCCATGATCTCATACAGTATGCTTTTGAATAGACCTTGTTGACAATGTACATGCATTCTTTCAAATCCTAAACACTGGAGTTATAAGGAAGATAATCCCTAGTCAACCCCTTCGAGCCAAAGAAGTAGGAGTTTCCATTTAAAAAAAATTGAAACCTTTAATCAAAACCTGGGGCAGGGTAGTCTCTCAGTTAATTCAAATGCGCGTTCAGTCGCGAACTTTCACTTCGTAATACAACGAATGACATCAAAAACATTCCTCTGGAATCAAAAGACGGTGATGGTTCCCTACCCAAATAGGCAGTCACTATCTCTCAAAAGAAAATCCCACTAATTCAAAACCTACAAAGGAGGCTTAAGACTTAAGAAAAACCGGGGCATCCCGCTGACTGTAAATCTCAAAACGAGTACTACAGATCCTCAAAACATTGCAAAAATGATTACCTTCCGACAAATTTGACTTATATGAACCATCACCAAAATGTCATTCCAGACTAAATTGGAGTCCAAACGCACAATTAAATGAGTTTAGGGCTGGAGAACATCACGAAGAAGGGGCAAGTATAAATACACTTTGAGCCTTATCCTTTGTTTCTTAAACTGTGAACCAAACCACGTTACAACCTTTCAAAAGTCCTAATTGAATCTTGGGTTAGTTCGAAGGCATACTGTTACAAAAGGTATCTTGACTCCTATAAGGCTTTACTCCAAATCCTGAGTTGATTTTTCTTACAAAAATTCTTTACTTGCTAAAACGCATTTTCAAAATTCAAGACAAGCATAAACTTTGCATTATTTTGAATATCGTTGTTTGCACATGGCTAATTATTTGACAACAGATAAATTCACACGACGAATATCCAGTGAACAAAAACTCTCTCAATGAACAAAATCACTTCAAATGGGAAGACACTTCCAAAAAGTAGATCTCCTATAAGCAAGGGGGCATGGAGTGTTATTTTCCAACACATCTAGGGAAGTCCAGTCAAGATTCCATGAAATCTCTCAAGAAACGTTGAAGAACCAGGGACAGGTCTCCATCTGAATCACTTGGGGCATTGGACACGAGTTCTAGCAACAAATCATGTACGATTTGAAACAACCGGCTGAAAATCATCAAACAATGAAGTTGCCATTGAACGTCTTTTATCCCACAGGAAGGGAAAGGTAAACGTCGAGTAAACCTGAAAAGGGTGAAATCAAGGTCGAATGACCAAGAGATAAGGGTAAGGGAGTCTGTTACGCGAGGGGAAGGTATTAGCACCCCACACGCCCGTAGTACTCTACGGTATCCACTCTTGTTGTCTATCTTATGGGTGTGTTTAATCTATGCTTACTGTTTATCATACTACTGGAGGAAATGCATGCAAAAGAAAAGGGAAAAGAATGTAGGAAAAATAAAATTGTGCTCGTTCGGGCCCTACCCCGATGCCTACGTATCCCTTTTAAGGAATCAGAGCAGCCGTAGTTCGGCTTATGTTTTTGTTGGTTTGTATTTTTTTAACGAACAATATTAATTTCGCCTTCTACCGCAACTCGACCTTTGGAGACTTACGCGTCAGCACGGAAGTGAATTAACATGCTCTTTTTGAAAAGGTTTGGAGGAAATGTGCCTGGGCGCACAAAAAGGTTTGAAATCGTTTGTTTTTGTAATGAATGATATTAATTTCGCCTTTTGCCGCAACTCAACTTTTGGAGACTTACGCGTCAGCACAGAAGTGGATTAATACGCTCTTTCTGAAAAGATTTTGAAAGAAAAGCCTGAAGGCAAAAAGAATTTTGTATTTATCAGTGTTTTTGCTTGTAGGTAACAGCTAGTTGACCTTAAGAGAGAGATTTTAGCCTTTTCTCTACTTATTCATGAAATGAGTCTTTGAGACTTGAACCACAACAAAGATTAGAATAAGAGAACAATAAGGTCGAGAAGAGACCCGCTTATTATCTCACATACTTAACGAAGATATGATCCTCGTCAGTAAATTTTTAGTATTTTTGAAGTTTGTAAAAAAGAAGTTTTTGTTTTAAATGCAAATGCAAAAGGGAAAGAAAGTCACATGAAGACTAGCCTATTTCTAAACCTGATTTTATCGTGCGTTAGTAGCCCTAAGACAAGTATGAATGAAAGGGAAACATCTACCTAATGTTTGCATGCTTGGATTGCAGTAAAGCCCTGTTTCTCAAGATTTTTAGAAAGCGGTAAAGTGCGAGAATGAGGAATAAAATAAAGTCACGATGATACCGAATGGAGAAGGTCCGCTCCCTCTTCATAATCACGCAAGCCATAAGAAAACTCTACAACAGCTGCTCCCGCAAGCCATAAGGAAACTTTACATGAACTTCCTTAAATTCCCTTGATGAAAGTTATGCTCTTAGTTGAGTAGGAAACTTCTTGAGACTCCTTACTTAAGTCACTTTTGGTTCAACCATATCACACAAAATAATTGGCAAAATAATATTGACACAAGTAAAAAAACATAGAGAAAATAAATTAAACAAAGGAGGTGCAAGCTGCAGGCAGAATTATAACCCAACAATGGAAATATGGACTCTAGGCCCATTCAATTTTTTGTTTGTAGGGCCATTAGCTACCACAAAAAAGGACATGTTAACGGGCCTAAGGAGTGAAAATTTTGCCCAACCATTCATCAACACCACCAATCATCAATTTCTATTTTTTTAAACATTATTATCCAATTTGAAATATATATAAAAAAATGATTTTAAGAAAACCAAAGTGAAAAGGATACATTGTACGATGCGTTTCGACAATTTGATTAGGGTTGAGTTTGTGTTTGTTATACTTCAGAAGTGAAGCGAAGAAATCTTCATATCCTTTTCACTTCAACTCGACAGTATAATCCCTATCGCCTCCGTCTCCGATTCTGTCCCAAGTCATCACCGCCTCGAACCTTCGTCGCCACCAATTAACTTTCCTCAACATTCCGCCCTCATTCTCATCTCCGACTTCACCTTCTTGCGCCGCTGTTCCTTTGCATCACAACTCCATCTTCTTCTCTTCATCGCGCCACCACAGATCTCAACACCGTGTCTCGTCTCATTCTCAACGATTCACCGCCATCCTTGCCCTTCTTCGGTTTTTTTGTTGGTTCTACGCCTCCAATTAAGCGTTCTAAGATAGAACGTAAAACATAGAAGTGAACTGAAAAAAAAGATTACTAGCCGGAGTTCATCAGGCGCGTCTTTGACGGTTTAAGCGACGAGAGAACTAGAGGAATTGCTAAGGTATATGCTCATAATCCTCTTCTTCTTATTCTATGTTCTTCTTCTACCTTCCTTGAATATCTGTGTGAATTTGTTGCAGATTCCATGAAGTTATTGATGCAGAGAAGTATTCATGATGCTGTTGCTGTTTGTGGAAGCATATGATGAGACATAATGAAGTTGTTGCCCAGAGAAGATCCATGCCAAAAATGAAAGAATCGCGTTGATGTTGATGTGGCTTTTTGTTGCAGAAGATGAAGATGATAATTGAGGAACACTCAATGCCAAAACGGTGGTGTTGCACGTTGTAGAGAGAAGAAGTAGATTGGAGAACGGTGGTGAGGTTATTGATGTTCGTGGCTCTGTGATAAATATTAAGAAGATTAAGTTGCAGCGATGATTATTACGATTGAAGAATCGTGAAGAATAAAGCAGATTCTCGAGGTGAGTTTTTTTGATCTTTCTGGGTTGAATAATTATCTATGTGTGCGTTTTTTCGTTATCGATCCCTTCTGTCGTTGTTGTTCTTCTTTTGTCTTGTGATCTATTCGCTCTTCTGCTCTTGATTTTTGATGCAATGGAACTGATCTGTTCAACATAACACCCTTCACCATCGTCTAAGTCACACTGTAACTGAATCCTCTTTTGAACTTATATCATCACAGATTCAAGGAATAACACCAGCTATGCCACAAAGTGAACCAGGATTGCACGAGTTCAAAGATTACCTATGCTTTCAAAGATAACGTAATCAATAAGAACTCGTAAATCCTTCACAAAGAACTCGGGTGCGTCTTTATGCTTTCGCTCTCTTCTTCTTCGATTTCGCAGTTTCTGCAATTTCTTGCGCACACTTCTGTTACCACATATTGAAGTCGTTTTGTTGGTGATTCAAAAATATGTTGTTGATGTTCGTGTGCATCGATGCTATTGCTTTGAATCGATAATTGTGGTTTCGTTGTTGTTACAGGTGTAGTGGAAAATGAGCGTTGATGTTATTGTAATGAAGTTGAAATATATGAAGATTAAAAATATGATGAAGCCAGGAAGATTGCAAGCCGTGGAAAATAAAATGAAGATGTGAAGTGCAGAGGGAAGAAAGAGAGAGGTGATTTCCCCTCCAATGATGAAGATGAGGTTAAAACGAAGGTTGAAGATGGAAGAAAAAATGAGAAGAAGTGAAGGTGAAAATCAGAGTTCTTCCCCAAAAAAATTGGAGAGTTCCCAGGTCTGCCTCCTTTTGTGAACTTTTTTCTGTTTTTCTCTCATATCCCCCCCTATTTTTCTGTTGTACTTCTGCTATGGTTTTTGTTAGTGAGGTTATGTGGCAGTTGGTTAGCTGGAAGTTTGTTGGAATCTGTTAGAAGCGGTTAGGAAGTTTGTTTGGAATTATGGAATTCTGTTTGGCAGTTGTACTGTTTACAGGTTATTAGGATCCCTTGGGTGATGTTAATTAGGAAGTTAGAAGTTAGTTAGAGTTTGTTAGGATGCAGTTAGAAAATTCTGTTAATTCTGTTTGCAGTTAGTAGTTTAATTGTTAGAGAGAAAGTTAGAAGTTAGAAAATCTGTCAAGAATAGTTAGTTGGCAAGCTGAAGGTTATGTCATTGGCTTGTTAGTTTTGGTTCTGATTGTGGATTGTTTTCATGCGATTTTACAGGTTGAGTTCCAAGTGGCCAGTAGGATTTGTGTTGAAGCAGTGTGAAGATTATGGTGAAGAGGTAAGGTCAAACTGTGGGATTTCGTGGAAGACATATGAAGATTAGGCTTTGGTGTTGTGTAGGATTTTTATAATTTCTTTTGTAACATGATGGTAAAATTGTAATGAAAATGTTTTGAATGCCATCTTGTATTGCAATGTAGCATGGAATTAGTTAAACTTTCAATGTAATTTTGAGAATTCAATGATAATTTCTTCAATGTACCTTTCTCCTCGAAACTGATTTTGAAGTTCCAAGTTCTTTTTCTCAAATATTTCCTTTAAATACCTTCATATGAATTTAAATAATCATGGTATGAATTCAAAATATTTGCAAGGTAATCATAAGAGACTTTAATCTTGAATGAATTCTTGAATGACTATTTGGATGAAACTATGGTTGTTGGATTCAAGAACTTGTGGTGTAAACAATTAACTTGCTAACTGCATAACTGCATAACTGTTTTCTTATTTTCTATGCAGGACTGTTTTGAGAGTTTGTTATGATTTTATAATGAATGTTTGGTTTGGATGAACTTGAAATTTATAGCGTGAATTGTAAATGATCCTGAGCTTGAAATGTCGGGTGATGAATTTTATGGACGGTATTTCAATGACAAAGTCTTGAAACTTTAACTTTAAAATGCTTGAAGACATGAAAGAATCAAATTTTCTTGTAAGGTATTGTTACACTTGAATGAAAATGAATGGAATTGGATAGTATTTTCTTGAACCATGAATCAAAGGGGTTGAATAAATGTTTGAACGCATTGTGAACTTGAATCTAGAATAACGATGAACATCTTTGTAATGTGGATGAACTCCGACTTGAAATAAGACCTTGCAGTTTGTACTTTACCTTCCAATAAACTCATATGACCAATACTTAAAGCTCTTTGCCAATTTTAATCCAATCAAACACTTTCGAACATCTTGAATTCAAATCAAACTTCAAATCCAAATCACACTTGCATTCTCAATGAACTCCTAACTTCAATCTTAAATCCAAATTAACTTGTATGGTAAGTAATTTGAATAGACAATAAGATCTTGATCTTTAAAAAAAAATATTCACAACCTTGCCTTTTGTATCATGCCTCATATTCCATGATTCAATCCATAAGTCTCTTATCTTGACAAAGTCCTTCCCTAATTGACGACCTTAAATCATCAAAGATGGACGTAAATGATAATGAAAGAATATGATCAAGATTAATATGAAACCTTATTTCCCATGATCTTCAATTACTTGAACATTTATCAACGAATAGAAACCCTGATTTCTAATGAAATTTCCCTTTTTTGAACTAATATTTCTTTTCCTTTACCATACCATTCTTCAAATGCAACTCGATTGCCTAACACATATTAGATGAAAGTTAGAGGGAGACCTTGGTCCAAAAGTTATTTGTTCAAAGCTTACTTTAACCGAAGTCAACAGATCTTATCCACGTATCTTTAACTTGGTCCATGATTATGTATCTCAAAGTCTCATAAGAGCTTGTACGCCCATCAACCAAGTATGCCATTTTGAACAAAACCCTGCCTTGAATGCCTTGAACCTTGAATTACTTTGCATGAATTCTTCCACGAGAAGCCTACTTCAATCCGAGTCTGCTCGCATCGCAGATGACAAATGACAATGATGAGGACAATAATTGCCTTGGTTAAGGAGAAGTCCACAAATTCATATCTAAGGTCATGAACTGCGCTTCACAATTCAATCCCCAGCCCTTAGCGATCGGTTATTTCAACTTGAAATTAGTGCCATAAGGAACATCTTACAGATGGATGATAAAGTCTCACAATCTTGATTCCTCGGTTTAGATGCACAGAGAAATATCCAGATGAAACATCTTTGAACCATGATTCAACAAAACCTGAATTGATTAACTAAAGAGTAGATGAATGTCATGTTACAGTCATTAATCCTAATCAAATGATAGGCATACTTATATGAAGAGACGCCATGATTCGAAGCCCACATATGCTAGGTTATGCCCTGGAATTCTTCACCAAAATGACCTACAACCAGTTGTTCATCAGAAGATATTATCCCTGTAACTTGGTGGAGGAGAAGTCCAAAAATGAGCATGCTCAAAACCTTAATTCCAAAACCTTGTACACCGAGAAGACCATGGATAATCAAACTTATTCAACACATATACCTCAAATCAGTTGCAAACCTTAGCTCCCTAACTGCTGGTCTTTTGAACCTTAGGTGATCCATTTTTATGAAAATGCGTGCTATACACATGACCCATTGGAATGATGCAGATGAATGCAAAAAGTCTAAGCCATAAAAGTGCAATTAGGAGGGAAAATTTTGGGGTGCAACACGATCAAGCAAACATCTTATGGCAGTGTGGCAACACCTACTACTAGGAGCAATGAAAAATCCCCCATAAAATCATGTTCATAGGGTGGTCCCCAGCCAGAGCTTCTATCTCTGAAAACTTCTTCCCAACTGAGTTGATCTCAAGAATCCTCGAGGAGTTCTGCCAAAAGAGAGTACCTCTCCGACAGATTGGTAACATGGTTTATTTCCCCAACAAACTAAAGATTCCTCAACTTGAGTTTGCCTCTCTGATTACTACAAATCAAGGTACTACAACTCCTTTTCCCCAGTAGACTGCTCTACAATCCCTGACAAGTTACTATGAAGCCTGAAAATCGACCAGATAACAGTTAACTTCAGTAAGTTGTTTTGAAGCCTGGAATCTGACCAGGTAACAATTCAACTTCATTCTCTCATGAATTTGTTGTGAAGCCTGGAATCCGACCATATAACATTAAATCCAGTAAGTCACTGTGAAGCCTGGACCCGACCATATAACAATTAAATTCAGTAAGTTACTGCAAAGCCTGGAAACCGACCAGATAACAGTTAACTTCAGTAAGTTGTTTTGAAGCCTGGAATTCGACCAGATGACAACTCAACTTCATTATCTCAGAAATTTGTTGCGAATCCTGGATACCGACCATATAACAAATAAATTCACCAAGCTATTGCGAAACCTGAAAACCGACCAGATAACAGTTTAACTTCACTCTCTCAAGCAATTTTCTACGAAGCCTGGAATCCGACCAGATAACAGTTAATTTAATCTTCCCCAGTAAGTCGCTGCGAAACCTAGAATACAACCAAATAATAGTCAACTTCATTATCCTCAACAAATTGCTGTTAAACCTGGATTTCGACCAGATAACAACTAACTTTCCTTTCTCTTCCAGCAAGAGATAACTCCCCAGTAGAGCAACAAACAGCTAAAAAAAACACAAAAAAACCTGAACTCTTTTCTCAAGCAGGAGTCAACACTCTCCACAAAATTTTCTTCTCAAAGAAAAATCAACATCCCCAGCGGAATTCTCCTCAAACAACAAAATAGGAATCTCCAGTAGGAACATTTTAAACAAAGTTTGAAGACACATCTACTCTTCAACTTCAGTTCAGGATTTAAGGAATCCCCAACACTTGTCAAGGATTTATTTTCCAAGACAAAATTACATTCCAATAACATTTCATGTATCATATTTACATACAGGATAAATGTATACAACATAACCTCATTTATTTTGGGAAACATTGTTATGCCATGCATTTCATCCATCATGATATTGCATACAGCTAACCCTTTTCCTTTTCAGGAAAGGTTAATTGACTGATAATTATCATCAACAATTTTCAAGAGATCTAAGACTAGTTCCTGAAACAAGGCAGAGCAACTATCTACACAACCATCATGAAGCAACCCTACCCAGGTTCCTTCTCATTTTAGATGGAGTTTTACACAGACTTATCCTGAAGAAGCCCTATACAGGCCCATCACAAATAAGCAAACAAAGACCTCCTCTGGTTAGATTTATTTCTTCCAGTTAATGACAGGTGACTAAAGACCTCCTCTGGTTAAATTTATTTCTTCCAGTTAATGACAGGCAACTAACGAACTCCTCTGGTTAGATTTATTTCTTCCAGTTAATGACATATGACCAAAGACCTCATCTGGTTAGATTCATTTCTTCCAGTTAATGACAGGTGTGATACGATGGCAGAACCGGACTGTTTTAGGAAAATGCTGGTTTGCATTTTGCGTTTTTTATTCGCAAAATGTCGCGGTAAGCAAGAGTCGCCACCGACTTTTATTTTATCCAATTGGAAAGGAAAAAAGCACAGAAAAATTCCTTTTTCGAGATTTTGAGTACGGGGGGTAGATTATAGAAAGGGAAGGTATTAGCACCCTTTCTATCCATGGTTTTCCACGGGCTCTTAGGTATTTGCTCATCATTTTTAAAATTTCTTCCGTGTTTGTGCATTTTGAAAAGTTTTTGTTTTACTTCGTTTTAACCCTTGTATCATCCCTCAAGAGTGTTACGAAGTGTTTTCGAAAACTTTGTTTGAAAAGTGTTTGGTGTGAAAAAGTTTGATTTGAGCAAGTACCTACTAGCATCTACCTACTCGAAAAAAGATCGCTGATATTCTTGTTTCCTTTAGACAGCGCTATCCTACTATTGAGAAATAGGTAGCACCGTTGTTGGAATTTGTAAGGGTCAATTCGAAAGGGACGTACGATCACTAAAGAAATGTTAGGACGTCTTAGTAATAACCTTACTGTCTTAAGATCATATTCGAGGTAACATTTCCGAGGCAACCTTTCCGAGGCAACATTTCCGAACGGGGCATTTGATCTTTGTTTAGACAAGAGGGCGACCACTAAAACACCCTATACTTAATGATCATTTACCGAAGGCAACCGAAGTGAGAGTATACCCTAGGAGTGCGCATGTGCGAGTGATTTGATTTCAGTTATTATCTTTGCACATTTAGGGTTTACTAACCATTTTAAAATTAACATACAGTCTTATCATGCATTCCTATTATCATACATCTAACAGTTAGTATTTGTGAAATTTAAAATGTGAGAAATAAAGCTACGCTATTACAAGGCTTCGGGGAGGGGGATTAATTACATAGCCAAAAACCCGTAAAACGATAAATAAAGGAAAATCCTAATTAAACTATTACATCCCATGAGCAGTTACATTAATATTTGCAAAAATAATAAATGC